TGCTTGTGGGCTACGGGCTGACCTGTATTTGCTCCTCCATAGAATGTATAATCATTGTGGTTCATTGAACGATGAAACATCGCACACCAGAGCTCTGGGTACAGTACACGCGGTGATGGCTTCGACATGCACGGAGAACCGTGCTGCCATCCTCTCTACGTTGGTTTTCCTGGATGGGTTTTACAACGAGAGCGCGGGGCTGGAACCCTATACCTGTCAGGTTGTCTTGGTAGTAGGCTGAAGATGGGACATGTGCTCTCTCGGGCCTGGGCGAGTTACGTCACGGCGCACAGGAGTGCGCAGTGGCTCCTGGGGTTTTTACATTTTTTACCCAGGTTTTAGCCCAGGTAAGGCCGGCCTCTTGAGGTTTAACGGCGCCTGCTTGTTCCGCCTGCGGAATAAAAGCCAGAGATTTGAGCTGGTTTGTAGTCAACGGTCTATGGATAGATAGCTAACGAAGGTATCGGGAGCATCCATTGTGAGGTGCAACGTTGGAATTGATGACCCCCGGATGTCGAGTCGTATACGAACTGAGGGAGCGATCGTTTAACTTGTATGTTATATTACTGTAGTTCCCACGGTTAGGAGGATGTACGCGACCTACGATTCCAAAAATACCACCCACTCACTCACTCACTCACTCACTCGTCTGGGCAGGTAAGCAACATTCTGGCTATGTCGAGTATATGCGCCACGAAGGGCTGACTCCCAAAGCGTAGTATTCTCATTTCTGCGCGTATATGCGCTACAGATGAGATGGGAATGTGCGGTCTTTGTTTTCATTCTATCGCTTGGTCACGTCGCGTACGGCACAGTCAGTACTTACGTCCGATCGCTCCTGCGATGTCAGCTAACATGATTATTACCAGTGTGTCACAGCGACAGAAGCTGTTGTATTCGATATCTCGCCAAATAGCTGCCATTCACGCGGTAACACGCCAGTGGAGTTGAACATAAGGTACACATATACGACTGTTCTCGCTGTCTATCCTCGGCGCTGACCTGGTGCACAGATGTGAGCTCGCTTGACGTTGACGTTCACTTGCGAACACCTCTGACCCGGCCGCCGCCGCCGCAGTGGCGATCGCCGCTCGCGCTGCCCTCGTTCTCGCGGAGATCATCGTTATGGCTTGCCGCCTGGGTGAAAATGAGTCCTCGTCATCATAGCGGGGACGTCGTGCGCGTCCCCCGCAGGCCCCTGACGCTGTCATCTGTCTTCTACGAGAACGGTAAGCACGCTCGCGCTCAGGAATCATTCCTAGGCTGAAATTGAGGATGAACGCGTCTTCCGACAGGCAGAATCTTTTTCTTGTACGATATAGCACCTATTCCTCTCCTTCATCGTTATTGACTTTTGGATTCACAGACTTATGTTGGTCGCGCACACGGTCTACCTCGTCGGCCGGACGGTTACGGTACGTGTATATCTCCCTTCCGTCCGTCTTTGCCCGAGCCTAAACGTGCGCCTGTCAGGTCTCGGCTACCACGACCCCAGCACTACTGTACTTCGTGCAGTTTGGCCCCCTCTTAATCGAGCCGTAAGCATACAACCTTCCTCGTTTTTCCATGCCCGCGTCCCCCATCTGACCCTTACTCCAGCACGATCGGAATTCTCGTCACCCAATTCCTCATCTCCCTCCAAGAAGCCGCAAACCGGCGCGCGCACCACCTCGGACTCGACACCCATCCGCGCACCGCGACCTCTGACATGGCGCAGGACTCGACCGAGTGCGGGTCGATCAGCCTGGTGCAGTTCGCGCGCGCGGATGTCGATGAGTGGCTCGAATCCGAAGCTCCCGCGATCACCGACGGCGGCGCGTGCGCACAGTGGGAAGAGGAGTGCATCGAGGCTCTAAAGATGGTACAGGAGCATATCAGCAGTTCGGACTGCCACGACTCGGTGTAGGGCAGCATGCGGATGTCGGACGGGAGACAGGGATAAGTCGTGTCCGACACTAGTACGGCGTCTGATATGCTACGGATGGCAAGTCCACGTACCGGTGAGTAGCCGCTGAGTACTGAGTAGCCGATCCACGTCGTGCCTGACACATCTCACATTCCATTTCTACAGGCGGCGCGGCAGTGCTGCGCCCGTCAGTAGTCAACTAGAGTTCGAAACTTCGTCTTAGGATTCTGTCAGTGCAGTGCACTAGTAGAAGGGTGCGTTGCGGGGCGTCAGGAATAGCACCGCATTCACGTTCCGGCGGGGACATGTACACCTTCTCCGGCTGCGTGCCGGTCCTGCACTCACGGAACGCCGCAGCCTTTCACCGGAGATGCTTGCCTACACATCAATATGATGCTCCATCTTGTGCGTCGTTTTTCTATCAGGTAGCTTTGATTCTGCTCTTGGAGTACGCGCTTTTCGGCTCCGAGCTCGCGCGTACCTCCGGACACTGCGGACATTTCATGTCGCTCAGTGCTCGTCTCAGGGGATGACCGCGTGTTATGACTCGGTCGCCTCTCCTCCTTGGGAGCACCATAAGGACTCCCAGCCCCGGACGACTATTGCCACATCCTCGCACTCGCTACGCTGCCGAAATGACTTCAACCACCTCAGAGGCTGCTGCGATCGCCACGCTCGTCAAGGAACAGACTTTCACGTGCGTGCATCCTCCCAACATCGAAGCATAGGCTGTCTCGCTGACCCCCCGCCCTGTCAGTATGGCGGAGAAATACTTCGAAATGGCTACCACAGGTAAGTTCCTCTGGGCTCTCTTCGTACATTCCCCGCTGACAGACCCCCTAACGTTGCAGCTTTGCTCATATGGCACTACGTATTGACGGTCGAAAATGAGCTCGCTTTCTTCTGGCGAAGACGATTCTCCAGCGCATACGCGCTGTTCGTCGCGAACCGCTATCTCATCCTCGTCGTCATCATATACCAGTCGCCCTGGTGGGCCGTGCATTACTCACACATGGTGTGCTCATCTCCATTCTTCGTTTCTTGCGCCTAATTAACCCTGGAGTGTACAGTGGCAGTGAGCGTCCTGACCTCGAACTTGTGCCTCTTCATGCGACTGATGATCTTGTTGTCGCACGGGAAGATGCAAGACAGCAATATATGCACAGTACATCTTCCGATACCTGCAGTATCTCGTCTGGGCAGGTAAGCACGTGTACATACGCCCGAGACTTTGCGTTGATCTCCAGGGCGTAGCATTCACCAGTCTGCGCGCATACGCGCTGCAGATGCAGTGGTTATGGGCGATCCTCGTGCTCGCCCTCTCGCTCGGCCCAGTCGCATATGGTACAGTGAGCACGCTTGCCATCTCCTGCGATACCAGCTAACATAGCGCCGATTTGCAGATGACTATAATCACCGTAGGCATCTCGTTCACCCCCGCAAACGGATGCCATTCGCACGGTACCATCTCATCGCAGCTGGACGAAAGGTACGCCACGCTCGCGACTCCGCCTACCATCAACCACCCTGAACGTCGACCTTCTTTCGTAGATGTGAGCTCGCACGTCCATCTATGTAGCACTTCTGACTTAGATTCGACCGCAGTGGCGATCACCGCGCGTGCAGCCCTCGTCGCGGCCGAGCTCATCGTGATGGCTCTCACCTGGGCCGAGATGGGCCGCTACCGCCGCAGCGCAGGCGGCGCGCGGACCCCCGGCACGGCGTCGACGCTATCGCACGTGTTCTACGAGAACGGTGAGCCGGCCCACCCCTGACCAGGCCGACCCTAACGCTGACGACCGCGCCTCCTGCAGGCAGGGTGTATCTCGTGTATGGCATAACCATCCGCCCGCCCATGTTGTTGTCGCTGACATCCATTCGCTGATCCTAGCCTGATACTGGTCATGCATGCGCTCTATCTCGTGAACTGGGTAGTCTCGGTACGCTCCCCTCCTACTCCATCTCCTCCTGTCGCCATCCAACGCCGCTTGCAATGCTGAATGTGCACCTCACAGGTCTCACCCACGACAACGAGCACCCTCCTGCTCTACTTCGTCGACTTCAGCCCTCTCCTCCTCGAACCGTACGCCCGCCTCCCCTCCCCATCCTCATCCTCATCCCCGGCTGAGCCTGCCCCCCCTTCACAGCACGATCGGCATCCTAGTTAGCCACGTCCTCATTGCGCTCCACGCGGCCGCATCAACGCACGACCACCCGCTCCTCGTCAACCGCTCCTCCCCGGACACGCACGGCTCCGGCGGCTCAGTGAGCCTGGTGCAGTTCGCACGGGCAGATGTCGACTCGTGGGCGCGCGCAGAGCCGGACAGCGCTGCGAGCCTCGCGTCTGGGGTGCACTCCCAGGAAGAGGGCAGGGCTGCGGCGGATGAAGAAGAGCTGGAGACGGAGCCTGAGCAGCGGAGCATTCCCAGCGCGGACTGTCACACTGCAGCATAGGGCGATGGCACCCTGGTGTATCCTCGTATTTCCCGCTTCACGAATGTACCCGCAGACGGTCCCAACTCTGCGGACTGTACGCAAGCATACACGACACAGGCCCGGTGCGCCTCGGACGCCGCTTGCACGCCCTCTATCTTTACCTTCTTTCTGCTATGTAACGCTCACCACCCGTCCACATGCGTCCAAAGTCGACCGGTCGACCCAGATTTCGCTCCGCGCGAGGAGCTCAAGCCTATCGCTACCATTTTTCATTGCCTCGCACGAGCAGGATCCGCACCCGGGCCTCCGAGCACTGGCCTTCGTCCGTCGTGACGCCCAACCAAGGGCACTCAGGCTCCTCCGTCCTCCCGTTCCTCCGTAGCGCATCCTGTTCAGAGAACGGTGAGCCGCCCCACACTCATCGGCCCCCGTCGCTGACGGATACGTCTCAGACAGGCAGGGTGTACTTCGTGTACGGCACAACCACCCACCGGCCCACGCTATTGTCGCTGACATCCATTCGCTGATCCTAGCCTAATACTTGTCATGCACGCGCTCTACTTCGTGCACTGGATAGTCTCGGTACGCCCCCAATCATATCCTCTTACCATTCCCGCAGCTATCCAAGCCTGCTCGGAATGTTAAACGTGCGCCGCGCATGTCTCGTCTACCACGACGGGCGCCGCACTGGGATATTTCTGGGATATTTCCACGAATGAACCCGTGGACTGTCCCATCGGCATGCACTCTCAGCGCACCATTTCAGCCTTGCACGTACATACATACAGACAAGCCCCGCCCGCACGCCCTCCATTCTCCTGCGATCCTGCACTCCACCCACCACCCTCCCGTCCTTGTCCGCCCCGGCGCTCCCAAAGTCCGCGTCCCGCTGCGCGCGTCCCCAGCCCCACCGCCCTGTCCCGTCCCCCTCGCCTTACCTCGATCCCTAGCGTGTCCACGTCCCCGTCCGTCCGCATCCACATCCAGACGCACCCGCCACTTCTATTCTCTCCTGTCTGTCCCTGATCCCCGTCCTCCGCCTTGCAGCCCCTCATACCACGCTCCCCTCCAAGCTGACGCTCGCCGCCCGTCGACCGCCCGCGCCCGCCCAGACGAGCGGGCACGCAGACAGCGCCACGCACACGCGCTGGTGCTCGGGGCAGGTGTGCTGCGCGCTGGGGCTGCGTTGGGGGTGTGCGGCGCAGGCGGGGTCGGGACGGATGGGACGGGAGGCAAGGGAGCGGCAGTGATACCTCCTTATATCCGTCTCGTATATACATGCACTCGTACAACTCCCCACTCGCACATCTTCAATGCCCATTCCGACTTGACACGGCGTCTCCGCGCAGCGCACATCCACCACGCCCGGGCACGGAGCTCCAGTACAGGCTCCGCCCGCACGCCCCTTCTCCGAGTTACAACGGCTGCCCCGGTTGCGCTTCCGTAAGGCCCACTCGTCGCCGACCAGTCCGCCACCCATGCAGAAACGGCCTCCCACTCTCTCAGACACGCGCGCGCACACCCCTCAGACCAGACCAGCCGCCCCGTCCATCTGCGTCTCTCGTCTCAGTCCCTCGCCCCCCATCCTCTTCAAACCTCATCCCCGCCCCCGTCAATCCAAGGCCTCAGCATACCCTCACCCCCATACGCACGCACGCCGCACGCGCACACCTCACCTCACACTACGCACGCGGACAGGTCCACGGCCCCAGGCCCCACGAGCCCGAGCCGGAGCCCGAGTCGGGGGAGGCATGCGCACCACCGTCGACGTCGACGCTGACTTCGGGCGCGCTCCCGGGTCTACGTGTGTATGAGGCGGGCTCGGGCTGGGGGGTGGAGGTGTGTGTGCTCTGTCGCCCGGGTTTTGGGGGGAGTAGGCCAGGATGTATCGCCCAGCGCGCAGGTATACACAGCGGGACTACGCACGCGAGGGCCGAGGACGAGCGGTCTCGGCCTGCGGTCCGTCCGTTCACCGCGGGGGCGAGGTCCGACATGGCGGGGCAGGAGACGCGGGGAAGCTGAGGGGTGCACGGTCGACCTCGGACTCTGGATCCGGGCGCGCTGGCAGAGTGTACGCACGAGTAGCTGCATCCCAGGCCGAATTAAGCCTCATACAAGACAGTGGATGAGCAGCCGAACCCCAAGCCACGACGGCCAGCGACACTCGGTTCCTAGCGCAGTCCGTCCACAGCGGCCACCCTACGAGGTCCAAGGACCGTGCAGCGCCCAGGGGTGCGCAATCCGGCAGGCTGTCGTGTGGACGCGCAGGGGGCGCAGGTCGGGCAGCGGCTGGTTGAGCTTGGGATGATAGGCTGGCCTTAGTGCATCCTAGGTGCGAGGGCGATTGTGTGCCAGGGGGGTTGTTGAAGGTCGCCTGAATGGGAACGAGGGTGAAGCGGAGAGGTGGGCACTTAGAGACGTAACTAGTCCAGGTCGTCTTAAAAACGAAAGGACGGTGCGTAGAAGGACACGCGCATGGAGAGGTCGAGCGACGGGACGTCCTCGGAGTTGATTCCTGTTGCTCTGAGTTCCGAGGTTCGCGCATATAGCCTGGTCCCGAACCGTCCCCTGTGTTGCTGCGCGAGTGCCTGTCGCTCTGATGAGCATACATCGACGCCTGTGGAATGGATGACTCACACTACGTCCTCTTCGCCAGAATCCCTCTGGAGGGACATGACAACGCCGTGCGGGGGCGATGTTCTGCCAGCGGTCGGGCGACTGCTGCGGTAAGCAGTCGACCAGTGTATCGCAGTCGACGTTGCCCACGGGCATGCACCAGCAGCTATCTAGCACGAGTACCTATGAAGGGCGCATGCGACTATCACCGGCAACGACAAACGAAAACGCGCATACAGTGACAAGCGCGTGCACGGGACGCGATCCCATGCCGGCATAGCGCTCGAACGCGAGCAGCAGCGGCGCACGGCTAGAGGGGGGCACTTTTGCAGACTACCAACAACCGACGTCAGCAGGGGTGCATTGTATGGGACGCAAAGGCGAAGGCGTACAGGGGAACACAGGGAGGTCATAGACGGCCTGGCGCGGGGCGGCGGTCGTGCAGCAGGGCGGGCGAGGGCGTGGCGAGGGTCGTCGGAAGGGCGTCACAGCAGTCGGCCTAGTGGGACATGCGCTTGGATAGCACCGGCGCCGTGGCTGGCCCTAGTCCCGCGCTCGCCTGGTCGGAGTCCGTCCAAGGAGCGTCCCTGCGTCTGACGCTGCAGGCAGGCCGTCGATATCGCAGCGAGCAACCGAGGGAGAGCACGAAACGGGAGCAGAACGTGCCAGGGTTAGGGTCACCAGCCGTTCTCCGTCTTTCTCGGACTCGACGTCTGGCGCTCGCAGCCTCTTCCTCGGACATACACGAGCTGGCCTGCGTCCGTGGACTGATCCGCGTGCCCTGTCTGCTCTCACTCGCCCAATGCCAGCCATACCCGCATTCCCCACCACCGACGTCACTGCATCCGCAGGGATACAGCGCCCAGTTGAACGCTGTCCCACTTGGCCGCGTGTATGCGCTGTCCACGCGTCCTCGCGCACTCACGCTATGCCAGTCGTCAGTCCAGCGCTCTGCTCTGCGTTCCGTCTATGCTTGCTAACGACCGCTATCCACGCGTCAGCTTACCTCCTCGGAACCCACTCGCTCAAAAGCCGCCCTGTGTAATACGCGTCTCCGCGTCTCCGGCGCTCGCATACACAACATCCCACTCGCTCAATTGCTTCCGAGTCCTTACTCTGCTTTCTTTCTGTCTCCCTCAACACCGAGACCCTCGGATCTACCTCTTTAATTTGTCAGACAGGACTTTGACCTGCACCGAGTCCTGTCCTGGCGCGCTTTCAAGTTCGCGCGGTCGGAGCGCTGGCTCGTACGACGCGCGTGCACCACATGTTTCGCGACATCGTCTTCTACCAATACGTTCTGTCCGGACGCGCGGCAGCGGCCTCCGCCGGGACGTCCCCATCCAAATGTTCTACTTACGAAACCGAGCACACCGCCGCGCACACGCAACATAAGGGTATGACGCCGGCCCCTGTCCTCCCTAGCTGTGTTCTCACTATCCTCTGTGCGACGAAAGATGCATACGAGTGCCGGCGACGCACGCTGCATAAAGTTCGGTCTGTCGATGCCCAGAGCTGTATCAGCCCCCACTCGCCAGATCCCCAGGAAACTGTCTCGTACCGCCAGAGCTGCGCGTAACCCCCGCCGCCTTCCATCTGCACCACCCGACTAACCGTGCACCTGCTTCGACTCCTTTCCTCTGTGCACGTCCCACCGCAGTCCGACTGTCATCCGTCCCGACGACATCTCGTCTGCATCTTCCACGCTCCGGATATACCTTCAAGTTGTTCCGCATCGATCAGGGAGACCAGGCTGCTCTCCCGGGACGCCTGTCAGCTTGTAGGCTATATACCAACCAGCCCGCTGTTGAGCATATCACCACACCACCGACATGAACACCACCGACATGGAGACCACCCCGCCCAAGCTCGTCAACCCGTCCTCCACCAACTCACAAAACCTGCAGCACGCACCCCCCCTCCCAGCCTCCACCCCCACCGCACCCCCGCCTCTTGGCGCCCACAAAAGCACTCCTACCTCGCCGCCGCAGGTCCGCCAGCCCCGCCTCGCCCGCGCGCCCTGTGTGATTCCTCCTCCTCATCAGCGTGCCTCTGGCGCCGTTCCTCCCCTTGAATCACCCCCTGTAACCTCGCGCTCGTCCTCGCGCCCTCAGGCCGGGGGACGTCCTGCACCTCTAGCGCGAGTACGCTGGTCCGGTGAGCGTGTCCTGCTGTGCCGTGCGCATTCGACGCGCAGTTGGTGGTGTATCCGGTGTACTAGGCGCAGCGAGTGTCCACCTCGACGCATGCATGCATGCCCACCTCGCCCGCGCGCTGATACGACGACGTAGATGCACAACGCCCGCGTCCGTCCAAGCTTTCTTCCTGACCTCGCAGTACGTCATCTGGGCTCTGGGCAGCGCCGCCTGTACCTCACCCTCACCTCCGCCCCCAGCCCTCCCGCAAAACCCTCCACTACCCCTCCCCACAGCGACCCGCGCTCCCAAACCCACCCCATCCGCCCATCATCCAGCATCCACCTCCCCGCGTACACGCCCTCCCCCAGCCGCGCTGCCATCGTCCTCGTCCTCTCCTTCACCGTCGACGCGGCCGACGTGGTACGCGCGCTTCCAACCTTCATGCATGCGCGTCCGCAGTTGGCACCCCAGCCGGGACTTGGGGCTTGGGGCTCGACCGCGCCCCGCTGTCCGCCGCGCGGGAGCGGGACGACACCCCGCTCCAGCTCCAGGGATCCTATAGGTCCGCTGCGCCCATCCTCCCCCGTTGCGCCCTAAGACTGACAACCCGGCTTGCAGCGGTCCGTCCCCCCTCCCCCCTCACCCTCCCCTCCTCCCCGCCCGCGGTCCCGCGGTCCCAAAGGCTGACCGTGACTGCGCGCGGACACTGACAGCGGAGATCAGTGTATGCACACCGCTCACGCGGCCTCGCGGCCGAGCCGCTCGTCAGGCCATCCCTAGGGCGGAGATGGCGCACCCGCGCTCGCGTCCTGTGTGAGAACTCTCGAGTCTTGAGGTGCAGTCTCTGCTAGCCACTGATTCTGATCTTGATGAGGCGAGGGCGCGTGTGGGGGAGGGAGGGCGTAACCACAGGCGGGTCTAGTATCGTTGCAGTTGTGATTGACACTGCACGGATGACCCGGGGAAGGTCGGTAACGCTGCACCTCCGTCTCCGCTGCTCGCGGTGCGTATCCACTGGTATCCCACGCTCGCATCCCAGTTTCTCCGCTCACGCACACAGCTGGTGGTCCTGCGGAGCCCCGCGCGTGCGCCGGACACCCACTGCTCTACTCCGTGTACTCCATCTTCCGCCCCATCCTCCCCATCCGCCCTCTCGTTCCTCGACCCGACGCACTCCGCTCAGCTCTTCGCACTGTCCCTGCCCGCCAGCGCTCACCTCCTCGGAGTGGCCAGCTCGCCGCATCTCCACATCTCCCGCAGACACAACTTGCCACTGTCTCGCTCGCTCCCGAGTCCCTCCCCCTCAGCACCGACACCTCGGATCCACCCGTCCGCGTCACCCAGACCCCACCCCGCGCAAGATCTTGAATCCGGCGCGCGTGCACTCGTACTCTACCAACCATACCGGCGATAAGCTATGCGCCGCGGCCGCACGTCGTCCCCCGCACCATCTTCTCCGTCCTGTCCGGACGCAAGCATGGGCCCGGGGCGCGCAGAGATGCCCCGGGCCCCCGGGCGTGTTCACAGGCCTCAAGCTCCAAGGGATCCGTTCGAGTCGGCGCGTGCGGTACGCGTGCGCGCCCGCGTCCAGCGCTGCGCAGAAAAGTTTCGCCCACAACCCCCATCCACCCGCAGCCTCTTGCCAGCCTCTCTCTCACAAGGCCCCGCTCTGCTGATAGTTCTCGCACCGCCCAGCGCGAGCTGTCCCCAAGCGTGCTCAGGCTCCCGTGCCCGAACACACACAAACGACACACAAACAGCATACACATGTACAGAAAGGCCTCCGAGTCGGTGGAGTGTACCCTCAAGTCTACCTGCGGACAGACTCCGCGCCATACGTCGGCCCTCATCAGGGCGCGCCATCGTCCGAACCGGAGTATGTGCCGCGTCTCTAGGGATGCATGTTGACTAACTACTGTCAGACTGTCTCTGCCCGGCCTCCCCGCGCCCTGCGTCTGTAGACCGTCTGCGACTCCTCCTGCATCCACCGGACGACGTCGACGTGTGAAGACACAAGGAGCGCACTCGATCTGGAACCCCGGGTTGACGTCTGCAAACTGCAGCGGGTTCCGGCCGGTCACGCGAGTGAGATGTGGCTTGGAGCACCGGGGTCTGGCTGGAGGCAGCGGTCCACGAAGCCGGCGACGATCTCAGACTCGACGAGCCACGCTGCGACCAAGAGCACACGATAGGTCTCCGCGCGCTGGCACCCCGGGCGGGCATCAGTCAACCCACCTGCCGGGCCTCTGGAGAGCGGGAGAACCCGGGGTAAGTGGCTCTTCGGCGCCGTATCCCACTGCTCGATCGTCCTGCGCGAGGCTCGGCGCTCAGGAGGGACCTCTGCGGCGCTGCGCCAACGCCATGTCCTCTGTTTCTCACACATCTCACTCACCGAGTCCATGTGGGGTTCACGACACACTCCAGCCGCAGGGTCCTCGGGCACGCCAGCGAGCTCGCGAGCCTCGTCTCTGTCAACCCCACCGCCCGGCCACGCTCTGTCCTGCTTCGAGTTCGTAGGCTTCAACTCGATCCCCGTCTTCCCGATATGCTCTCTCGTTCCGTGGATCACTCCACTGCTCTCTTCGCCGCCTTTTGAGCCTCGTGGTCGACTGTGCCCTCATCTCGTTATGAAAAGCCAGTCTGTGTGTCTTCGCGTCTCCGCGTCTCCGGCGCTCACCGACGCCGTGTTAATTGCCTCAGGCAGGATCTATTCCGTGTACGACTTATGGTAGCGCTAGCACTTGCGTCGTCGATTGACTATACTCTTGCACGCGGTGTTTCTCTTCAGCGTATCAATCTCGGTACGTGAACATCCCGCTATTATCTATCCAAAACCACGTTAAGCGTGCTCCTCCCAGTTTTCGATCGTGAAGCACCCCGCCTTGTTCTACTTCGTCGAATTCGGTCCACTCTTCGTTGAGCCGTAAGCATGTCGTCTCCGTTTCCCGTCCCGGTGACCTCTACTGACCCCTCTTGCGCCCCCTTCCCACCCATCTGCAGCACCATCGGGCTCCTTGTCAACCACTTCCTCATCGCACTCCAAGAAGCTGCGTCCAGGCGCACACATAACCTCGGAGACATCCAACTATGCTCAGCGACTGACAGTACGACCACGTCGAGCGCAATCAGCGTGTTGCAGTTCGCCCGTGCGGCCTAGCGCAACATGGAGACGTTCGTGCGTGGGAGGAGGAAGATGCGCAGCGAGTCGTGACGGTGGAGTATTGATATTTGTTCGGATTCAAGTCGTAAATGTATTTGTGTCGCTGATCTTACTGGGAGAAAGCCCAACTGATTTGTAATAGCTCGCAAGCCGCACACCTACTGAGAGCGACACTCTAACCTGTCTCGCCCGCACGGACATGGCAGGTCTGCACGACTAATCGTCGCGCACTACCAGTGCTCTACTTTGCAGTACACTTCCGCCCCATTTTACTCATCTTCTCTCTCGTTACCTAACCCACTCCGTGACGTCCTTCGCATACGCCCTGCCAATCAACTTCTTTGTCAGCTCATCTCCTCGTTGCTAACTCCCTCACGAAGCCGCGTTGTGCCATGCGCGTCCAGTGCGCGTCTCTAGCGCTCAGGCCGCTCGCAAACTCAACTTGCCGCAACCTCAACTGCTTCCGTGTACCTACTCTAGTTTCTCTCCCTCTTCCTCAGCACCGATATCCTCAGGTCTACTACAGTCATCTAATTCGTCAAACAGGACTTCGACCTGCACCGAGCTCTGTCCTGACTCCTGGCGTGCTTCGCGTGCCAGTGGCCGCGGGAGTCGGAGCGCTGACTTGTACAACGCGCGTCCGCCACGTGTGTTGCGGCATCGTCTTCTTCCACTACGTCCCGTCCGTACGCGCGGCCACGGTCCCCGCCAGGACGTTCTAATTCAGCCGTTCTAAGCACGAAGCCGAGCACACTGTCGCGTACACGCAACATCAGAGTGCGTGGCAGGCCCCCCCTTCGTTCTCATCATTCTCTGTACGATGACAGATGCGTACGAGCGCCGGCGGCGGCACACATAAGGTTCGGTCTGTCGATGGCAGGGTTGCACTGACTCCTACCCGCCAGATTCCCAGGAAACTGTCTCGCACCGCCGGAGCTGCGCGTAACCTCCGCTGCCTTCCATCTGCACCATCCAACTAACTGTGCACCTGCGTCGACTCGCTTCCGACGGCAGCTTGTCTGCATTTGTTGGAAAGACCAGTCTGCTCTTCCAGAACTTGTATACTAATCAGCCCTCTGTTGTAAACAACACTACGCCATCGACATGAACACCACCACCGCCACCACCACCTCACTCGCCGATTTGTCATTCATCGAGGCACAAAATCTAAAGTACGTACATTCCTCGACGCAGCCGCAAACCCCACCTCATGCGCGCTCTCCCAGTACTACAGAAAAGTACTTCTACTTAGGCACCGCAGGTACGCTCGTTCACTCGCTACGCCTCTCCCACGCTAACGTACTAGCCGCAGTGCTCCTCCTGTACGACTTCCTCCTCACTATCGGCGTGGAGCACGCCTGCTTCTGGCGCCGGCGGCTCTCGGGCGCGGCCGCGCTCTTCCTCGTGAACCGCTACCTCACGCTCTTTCTCGCGCTGTACAATGCGCCCTGGTGGGACGTCCTGCAGCTCCAGTACTCTGGTGCGGTAAGCGTGTCCGAGATGCTATCTGCTGTGCTATGCTCATTTGACGCCTGGTTATGTGTATTCTGTACTAGACACGGTGCGTGTCCCACTGTGAAGAAGTAAGCGCCTCGCCTACGCGCTGATGCAACGGCGGACGCTCTCCGTAGATGCACAACAGTCGCTTTCGTCCAGGCTTTCTTCCTGAACTCGCAGTACGTCATTTGGGCAGGTGCGTGCACTGCCTCCCAGTGCCTCAACCTCGCCTCCGGCCCTCCTCGCGGGGCCTTCTCCACTTCCTCCGCGGAGCTTTATATGCTGACAGACAAACCAATTGCCCAGTGTTCAACTGTCTTCGCGTCTTCGCACTACAACGGCCGCGCTGGCGCTGCACCGCCATTGTCCTCATCCTCTCGCTTACCGCCGTTGCGGCCGATGTGGTACGCGCGCTTTGAACATTCGTGGAGTTGCGTTGGTAGCTGACACACTGGCTGGGACGGGTGGCAGGTGCAGCTGCCCTCCGTGCACAGCACGCTCGACCGCGCTCCACTGTCCGCCGGATGCGCCGCGCGGGACAAGACCCCCTTGCAGGGATTTTATAGGTCTGTCCCGCCCATCCTCTTACCCCTCCCCCGTTGCTCCCTATAACTGACAACCTGGCATGCAGCGGTACGTCCCCCCCTCCCCGATTCGCGCGCTCGCCCGAGAAATCTGACTTTGCACGCGGACAGCGGAGATAAGCGTATGCATGCTGCTCATCGCGGCCGAGCTACTCGTCATGGCCGTCACCTGGGCGGAGATGGCACACTACCGGGCGAGCGCGCGCAGGGTGCGACGCGCGCTCACGCTGTCGTGCGTCCTGTACGAAAATGGTGCGTTCTTGTTTTTGGAGTCTCTGCCCACCATCAATTCTGACGAGGGCGCGTGGTGCAGGAAGAGCGTACTTTGTGTAAGTACCACGGGCGGGTATTGTTGCGGTTGCCGTTGTGATTGACACTGCGCGGATGGGCAGGTCGGTGACGCTCATGCACACGCTGCACCTCCTGTCTCCACTGCTCTCAGTACGTATCCACTGGGATCCCACGCTCGTAACCCTAGTTCCACCGCTCACGCTAAAGTACGTACACAGTTTGTGGTCCCACGGGGCCCCGCACGCGCGCCGGACATGATGAACCTCAGTCTCATACTCATCGAGCCGTACGCCGCTCCCTCCCATTCATTTGCTTCCCCGTTCGCTGTGCATGCTAATCACTCTGCCTAGAATCATTGCCATCCTCGTGAACCGCTTCCTCCTCGCGCTCCAAGCCGCCGCGTCCGCATCCGCGCCCCACCCCGACGACACGTTCTTAGACTCCAATCTTGAATGCGATTCGGCGAGCCTGTTGCAATTTGTCCGCGCGGACATCGACGAATGGATCCAGTCTGAGCTCGACTTCGCATCGCCCTCCTCCCTCGATGATGGCGCAAGCACGGATAGCCTCGATGGGGAGGACAGGGCGCGCTGGGACGAGGAGTGCGGGGCGGCGCTGCGGCGGGGTGGTAGCGCGGGGCGGGGGGATGGTGAAGTGTAGGGCGCGGAGCGCATTGGGGGCGCGCGAAATTGTGTATGGTAGTAGTAATCCAACATGTATGTATTCATATCCACGTCGCATATACACTGTTGTGTACTCTTTCCAAGATATGCTCTTCCAACATCCGAGTTCACGGGGACACCGGCATGTTTCTGTAAGCTCGACGCGCGGTGGGACACACCGGTGCGTCGCGCATATATGTACTTCCACCGGTCAGGAAAATCACCCAGACCAAGGTGTGCGGCGTCGATTCGAATACATGTTGGATTACCTTCTACTATCATGAACTGTCTCGGACCCCGCACCCCTGCTGGGCCTCTCCACGCTCTACACCGCGCAACCGACCCGCTGCATGACCATGCTCATGTCCGCCCCACACTCCTCCTCCCGCTCCCCGTCCAAAGTAACCTCATCGGATTCCACACTGTCGGCAGGCGGCGCGCCCTCGGACTGTATCCACTCGTCCACGTCCGCGCGCACGAGCTGCAGCAGGCCTACCGAGACCCGCCCCGAGTCAGCTGCAGACAATGCGAGCGTGTCGTCGGGGCGGGGCGCGGATGCGGACGCGGCGGCAGCTTGGAGTGCGAGTAGGAAGCGGTTTACAAGGATCGCGATAATCCTAGCCGTGGGTGTACGAGTTCTTAGTACATGTGAGAAAGGGGGAAGGAAGGGGCGTACGGCTCGACGAGGATGATGCTAAGGCTCATCATGTCCGGTGCGCGTGCCGGGCTCGCCGGGACCGCAAGCTTTGGTACACGCCCGGCGTGAGCGGCGACTCTGTGCAGGTGTAACGGGCGCGAGGCGTGCGTACCGAGAGTAGTGGAGAAACGAGGTGGAGCATGTGCATGACCATCGTTGACCTGCCGGCCGACCATCCGTCCTCGTCAGCGACCACTGCATTGCATCGCGACGCTATCACACTTACACGAAGTAGGCCCGTCCTGCGCCATACGCACTCATCAGCAAATCCGGCGTGGGGATTCGCACAGGGACGCACCGTTCTCATATAGCACGCACGACAGCGTCAGCACACGCCTAAAGTCCGTGCTCTGCCGGTAGTGCACCATCTCCGCCCAGGTGACGGCCATGACGACGAGCTCGGCCGCAACGAGGAGCATGCAGCAGCAGATCTGCGCTAGCGCCCCGCGAAAAGTCAGTCAGCTTCAGGAAAACGGAAGCGGGGTAACCGCGGGGAGCACGTACCGCTGGAACGGCCGCGTCAGCCTTCGTATTTCGGGCAGGTATTGCGGATGGGAAAGTGCGAGTGTGCGGATGCTTACCTGTAGAATCCCGGTAGAGCGGTCCTGCTGTTCCGTGCTGAGCACCCGGCGTACAACGGCGTGCGGTCGAGCGAGCTGTGTGCGGATGGAAGCTGCACCTGCCAGTCGCCATCATCGTGTTAGCTGGTGACGAGAACGCAATTGTAAGAAGGGATGGTGCTGACCACATCGGCTGCGACCACAGCAAGGGACAGGACAAGCACGACAGCTGCGCAGCGCCAGCGCGGCCGCTGGAGCGCGTATACGCGGAGACAGTTGAATGCTGCGCGAAAGTTAGTGTTGTCAGCACGAATCGGGCTTCGTGGCGAGCGGGACAGAGGTGTTTTATGGATCTTCCAGTGCGTACCTGCCCATATAATGTACTGCGAGTGTTGGAAAAAAGCCTGTAATAATGCTATTATAGTGCAACTTCATATTCAGTTCGTCACGTCACCGCGGTATATCCGTGAGCGTCTCGTAGAGATTTGCGTGAATTCGAATTGTGACACTCACTGACGCTATATACGCAGACCCAAATGAGCGCGACATATTATGCAGAAGAGGCATGCCTACCGTGTTCGAGTAGTGGAACATGCCATACCACGAGGCGTTGTACAGCGCGATGAGAAGCGTGAGGTAGCGGTTCGCGAAGAAGAGCGCGGCTGCGCCGGATATTCGCTGTCGCCAGAAGAAGGCTGCCTCCGTGTCGAATGTCAGGAGGAGGTCCCACAGGAGCAGCACTGCATCGCGCGGTCCGGGGTGAGGTCAATTGCGTGTGCGCGTAATTATAGCTTGGGGGAATTCGCGTACCTAGGACGGCGAGGTAGAAGCATTTTTCTGTGATGCTGGAAGGGCGAGAGGCGAGGGTTAGCTTGTGTGCCGTGACGGTATTCCAGAGGAGGAACGTACATCAAGCTCTGCTCTTCGATGAGGGTCGCAGTGGCATTCATGTCGAGTGGGTACGGCAGCGTACAGATTGATCTATAGTTTCGTAAGACAGGCCGCTCGAGAGAGCAGATTAGGCTCTCCAATGGATCCGGATCGAGGGCTGTCGACGGGGCAGATTACAGCGACAAGATCGCAGCAGGAAGTGCGCAATCGAAAATGGGACGAAGAGGGAGCGGCGTTGGTTGCTCGTAGGCGATAGAGTTTACGCACAGCGATACGATGAACTTGGATTCCACCGACCGCGAACGGGGATAGTTTTGTCTGCAAGCGGGAGTTTTGTATGTCGCCGGCGCTCCTAATAGCATATGTCTGGTGCCGCGGAGATAGCGGCGAAAATAACTCGGTAGGACAGTCGCGCCCCTCCATGTTGCGTGCGCCAGACAGTTTTCCTAGCATTGTAAGCAGAACGACCACCAGGAGGACGTTCTGGCGGGTGCCGTGGCCGCGCGACCCCGCCCGTGTCATGACAGGACGTACCAGAAGACATCGCGGCGGCACACGTGGGGAACGCGCGGCCTGCAACCCAGCGCTCCGACGAAGCATCGCAGTCCTCTAAGCGCGGTAGGACAAGATTCCGCGCAGGTCGAAGTGATCTCTGACGGATAGAATAGCTGAGCCCCTGGTTTGATCCGAAGGTATCGGCGTCGACTCGGGAGGACGCAAGAGGTAAGCTGCAAATAGTGCCTATGGGCGTGAGGCCGCCCATAGCAGCAGCTTAGTGAAGGAAGTAGCTGATGAAGGGGCTGAATAGGTTGGAGATAAGCAGGATCCATGAGGGTGAGCACGGTGGTCCAACGTTAGCAGGTTTGCCATGGTATCTAGTGGGGTTTGGTACGTACTGACGGTTCACGTTGCAGCGCCCGCACGGGTGAGCAACGATTCACGGATACCTCATAAATGCACTCTAAAGGGGCTGGATGGGACTGCAAGTTGTACCCTTGAGGTTCCGGTGGACGTAGGTGCCGACTCCCGAGGAATGGGTCCGTGACAGTCTGCTTGTGTGGGGGCCCAAACCTCGGGCTTCGGACCGTGACGAGCATCGCGCAAGTGAGATTGGGTGAGGCGGGAGTGTCGCTCGAGACACGCGGACCAAGACAGAAAAGACCAGCTATACTGTATGTGACGGAAGCAGCTTTACGTGGCGGTCGGTGTATACAGAGCAGAATCGCAGGCGAGAGCGACAGAGACGAGCCTTCGGCGAGGGCCGGAGAATTATATGCTTAGTCATCAGGCGCCGAGAACAGAACTGGCTATTTTGAGTAACGTTCAACTAACCGCGCACCAACTTACCCTCTCCTCCCAGTACTGTCTGCTGAGTCGTTGCGCCTTCAAGGTGGGAATTTCTGCTTTGAGTGGAAGCGGCGTGGACTCCCAAATTATCCCATCGTCATGCCCAGCAGATCCGAATTTGCATATAGGCTTTACTGCCAATATTCCTAGTCATCGCCTTCGTCTCCGACATGTCCGAACGAGAAGATGCACTAAGGTAGCGTTCGAGAAGACCTTTCTTTTGTATTTTGCTGTGCATCATCTGGGGCGGTGAGAGGGCTCCCAAAACATGTTATGTGTGCTCGCCGTGGACTCGGGACGCTGACCAATTTCGTTCAGCCTTGTTCAACTGTCTCCGCGTACTTGCACTGCGCATGCAGCAGCTACAATGGAGATTGACCGCCGTAGTGCTCGTCCTGTCCCTTGCAATGGTCCAGATTGGCGTGGTCGTACAGCCTCAAATATTCGTGCGTTACGGCTAACATGATCCCCTGGGGGCCACAAGTGCATTTATGCAGAGATGAGACATCGCCGTCGCAGCACTGCGGGACGCATTGCCGCCATGCGTGCTTTACGAGAAAGGTAACTGCACGCGCGCTCAGCGTTCATCTTCGGGAAAAGTTTGCCAACAAATTTGTATCAGACAGGCAGTACATAGTTCGTATACGGCGTGCGGTATGCATCAACGACCGCGGCGCGGCGGGTCGTTCAAGATTACGATTATTTCTCATGCACGTCATTCTTCTCGTGCCCCCAAACGTCGGCACGTACATGCAGCTCTCGCCCTTTCTATGCAAAACCACTCATTCCAGATGTACGCTTCAAGCTCATGAGTGCGGGAATGCGCGCGTTGGTGCACGTCACCGACTCAAATCTCGTCCTTGCCGACCAGTAAGCGTGGCATTTTTCGTTTGTCTTTCAATGAGCCATTCTGATTCTTGACCACCTCGCGGCCGTACGAATGACCCTTACAGTTCCCTCAGGAGATCCTCGTCGACTTCGCTTCCTTCTGGACCTCCGATCTTCAGTGTCCGTGCGAGCGCCTGACCTCGGCGACGGCCTCTCGCTCGCTTCCCTAGCGCTGTCTATCTTCGAAGACTCCGTTAAGCCCGCGTCAGTCAAGACGTCGCAAGTTCTTCTCGGAAGGCATCGAGATGTGGATCCAATCTGACTGCGGTGTTCCCGGTCCCGGGCTCGCCGGAAGTCCACTGCTGCACACCGGTGGCGTGGAGAAGCGGTCGGACGAGGGGCACATCGTGGCCCAACATTCTCTTAGCATCTCAGATGCAGAAGATGCCACTGAACGTCCGAGACAGTTATGACAGGAAGTACGGGATGCACGACGTTCATTGCTGATTGTGTCCTCTCCGCATACGCTCGTGCACGACCAATCCTGTGCGTGTAAAATTCATCAATCCTAACTCCCGAGTTACGTTACGACTCACTAGGCTAGCACCCGGCGCCGTACACATATTTGTATATACAGATGCCTGTTGCGAATACGGGATCCGGTTGGAAGCGGGCATGTCCGCCACCGACCGGTGCAACTACCTCATGTCCGTGGCCATCTGCTGTCGCGTGGCGTGTACGGTCGCTGCTTCACTATGCAGTACTTTGCGGCTCTGGGGATGTGGTACGCGCCGCGCAGGCCCTACCAGTAACCCTCCACCCATGGACAAACGACCGGCGCCCCTCTCAAATCACGCCGCAGGTGCGTCTACGATGGTTGCGGGAACTGCACGCGACTTGTATTTCCTTAAACTCGTTTTCATTGATAATGGTTGCTTGAAGTGTGCTTAGACACGACTCATTTCTCGGCGATCACGCTGAAAACCCCGTTTTGTTTGGAAGCAACGCCGTTGATAGCTCAGACACTACGCCCCTGTACAGCTTATAGAATTGCGGAGCTTTATGTACATCGACTTAGTCCGTTCCAATAAGAAGGCGCGGAGGGATAAAGTACTACACGTACAACTGAGGCTCGGGCTCCTTCAGGAGTCTGAAGATGTCAAATACATCAGCAAAAATGTCGCAGCGTGACAGACGTCTGCAAGCGCCGGTCAGGTCTGCATCCCCTTACATCCAGGATAAGCGGTTGCATACGTATGTAGACCCCGAGGCCCCCGCGCCTGTAGTATACACACTTTGCCAACGGTTCCCGAGTATGTAGACTCCCGCCATGGAAGGTATTAGTATGCAGGGGGGTGTATAACCACTGGGGGACTCGTTCAATACACCTACTATCCTCCTGCCTACAACGCGCCCACGGAGCATGGGCGGCATGCGATGGCGAGCGGGTACGCTGAAGCGCGAGGCGCAGAAGGTAGGGCCTCGCGCGGGCGCGAGGACGTCCGGGATACATATGTCGTGCATCGACTTGAGTAAGCTAGTAGTACATACATCACAGCGGCGCGAAACCTTCTCCGTCGAACTCGTCCCCCGCGAAGCCATCGGCCAGGCCATCCTCTGCGAGATCCCCATCGAGTGCGTCATCCTCATCTGAGTACGGGTCGTCG